TGAATACTATGCCCAGCACAGCTGTAGAATTCCAAAAAATGTTTGCAAAATTTGTTCATATACCTGACCATGAAGCAGATTTCAGCATTTGGAATCATATAGGCCATACTCTTAGCATAAAGTACTTAAGGTGAAATGATAAGGAAAGGCAGTTTTGAAGAAAAATCTGTCCTTAACATTGGGGCCAGGGGAGGATGGGGAGTAGGGGGCAGAGGCAGGCAGGTCTCTGTGACTTCACGGTGAGGCTGGTCTACACAGTGAATTCCAGGCCAGCTATAGCTACAAAGTGAGACCATGTCTAAAATCAAACAGACAAAAAACTGCCTTTTTGCCCAGCACTCTGGAGGCAGAGACACACAGACCCCTGAGTTCAAGGCCAGCCTGGTTTACAAAGCGAGTTCCAGGACAGCCAGGGCTACACAGAGAAACCCTGTCTCAGAAAACCAAACCAACAAAACTCCTGCTTTTGTTGAAAGTTCCAACAAAGAGATTCCACTAGGTGAAGAGATCATTGTATTTGAGGAGAGAAACAATTACAAAGGAGCCAGTTCTTCCGGATTGATGAACACATGCAGTGAAAATCCGGACCCCCAAAAGGCCTTCTGAGGAAATCCATTGTTTTAAATGTTGAATGAATGAACACAGGCCTGAAATCATGAAGGACTCATCAAGGAACATGATAAGGGGATTTGCCCTTGTAAATACAAAGATTTACTGTAGGGTTACAGTAATGGACACAGTGCAGTTTGGGTCCAAGGACAAGCTGAGAGCCGGACTGGACTGTTGATCTCTAGACAGTCCAGATCTGAAGGTGCTAGGGTGAGGACACCTGTCCTGGCCGGCTTTCACTACACTCTCAAAAGAGAAGGGCCATCTACAAATAATTCCCAATGGTGAGTCATCCAACAATGGTTCTTCATAATAACCTCATGCATCAAGAACTCCACAAGAGGAAAAGGGTGGCAGGTTAGGAAAAACTACACAGGAAAATGTCTGTCTGTCGTTCCCTGGTCAGGGAAGGGTTTCAGAGAGAACATACAAACACAGACCACAGACCAGAGTTGGGGGTGCTGATAGAATGTCACCTTCTCTCAAGAGGAACATTGGAGAGATCTGTGAAGCAGCGAATCAGCAACTAACCCTGTTTGAAAATTGGGCAAAAGACAACTCTTTCTCCCAAGTGCAGATTAGTAGGTGCATCCGCCCGAGTGGTGGGTTCACAGCCTTCCTTTCCTCGTGGATCACTGAGCTGCAAACTTATGAGCACTTGTCTATGTTCTGCATCCTCCAGCACCCTTAATGCGGAAAGAGTCAGGAGTTCCTACACTGTGACAGCTTGCCTCTTCCCTGTCCGCTGGATGCCTGCCTTTCTTCTCTTGCTCCTTCCTGTGTGTCCCTCCTCGATAATTTGGAGGAAAGGGTTCATTTGGCTGATATTTCCAGTTCACAGTCCATCAGAGAGGAAAATCAGGGCAGGGACTGAAATAGAAACCATGGAAGAATGCTGCTTCCTGGCTCATGTTCAGCTAACTTCCTTGTATAGCCCAGTCCCATCTGCCCATGGGTTGATGGTGCCCATGGGTTGGGCCCTTCCACATTGGTCATTAGTCAAGATAATCTCTTCCAGATCTGGCCACAGGCCAGTCTAATCTGGACACTTCCTCAATGGAGATTGCCTCCTCACAGATAATTCTAGGTTGTGTCAAGCTGACAATAAAAACTAACCAACACAGACTACTCCTTATCAACTTGACACACAAAAATATCACTGTTAAGTCATAACCTTCCCTTTCTTTGTCCCCAAGATCTCATGTTAATATCAAAATATAGAATGCATCACAACTTCTAAGGGTCCACAGTCTTTAAAGTTTTCAACAATTTAAAAGTTCAGTGTTTTTTAAAGTACAAAGTCTCTGTTGACCCCTACTAAAAACAAAAACAAAAAACCAAGTTACACTACTTCTTAATCCAAAAGGGGGGAACTGGGCTAGGAAAACCATCAGATCAGAGCAAAACCAGATCAGCAGTGAAAATCAAAGCCTCTTAAGTCAGTGTCTGGCATTTGGGACTCATCAGTGATCTCTTGGGCCCCTAAGGGCTTGGGCAGCCCCACCTCTCCAGCTCTGCTGTTCACTGCCTTGCTCCCCAAAACTGATTTTCACATGGCAGAACTATCAAAAATCAAAAGTGGAAGAACTCTCAGCACTTAGTCCTTTAACAGTCGTGGACATTGAGTGTTAGGTAGCCTGATGAGACCAGAACCATACCAAGAAGAGGATATTGGCTAAGCTCCATTTCCCAAATGTACTACCTCAGCATATGCCCATCGAGCACCATCTCACACTGGCCTAGTCCTGTGCCTATGACATCACTGCATTTATTTGCTAGTGTTTCGATATATATATATGAAAATCTATTGCAGTAGGGGAGAGGTTAGAGTTACATCAGAGTCTGGATATGAGTGGAGCCAACTTTATAGGTTCCCTGCTAGTCGGTGGATTCTGAAGCCCACCTTGAGTAAATGAGTATCGCCTGTAAGACCAGCAGGAGACAAAAACATAGAGCACATGGGCAACTGGAAATCCTTAAAAACTCACAGTGACTGCTAGCCCTTGCTGATACATGGGCAGCAGCCCACAAACTGCTGTCATTTACAGATGAAAGAGCTGAGGCCTGGAGTCTCTCCGCATAGCTGGTCCACATTAGACCCACCAGGCTGGCTCCCTTGGCACCTGTTCCAATGCCCTGTTCCACATTCCATTCTCCCTGCCATCTTGAACCATCCATTGCTCCATGGTCTCTGGGGATTCAGGCAGATGAAGATGGCTCTGTCCTCAGGGTGTAACTTCACAGCCAATGGACACAGGAGCCTAGAAACTGGATGTGAATGGAGTACAGCTGCTAAAACTCTCTAGGCCTGGAGGCATCCACACAAGCCACATCCAACACCTCCTCTGAGGGCCCCTTACAGATCCAAACAGGGCTGCACCTTCTAAGGTACCTTTCTGTTGTGTGTCTGTCAGAAATGCTGCTTTCTCCAAGGTGGAGCAGGCAGGGACTTTGGCCTCTCAGGCCCTTCCCTGTGGTGCCTTGCATCCCACCTGGAGACACAGTGTTATCCTTGAGATATGGCCTGGTGACAGTCTTCTGGACATGCTCTTCTGCCTTTTGCCAAACATCTCCACTCTAGTGACTTAATATGCCCATTGATGCTGAGTTAGAACAGACACAGATGTAGGCCATATGGAAACCAAGCTTTGTCTGGCCAGGCATCGTCGCTGATCCTGTACAACACAGCAGAGATTAGAGGTGGTATTATCAGTCCCTGTTATGGCCTGTCATATACCACCTCTTCAAGGGACTTTGGAGCTGAGTCTGACCCCAAGTCACATGCCCCCTAATTTGACCTGCTCTGGTCAAGTTCAGGATGCAGCCAGGTCTCGCGTGTGCAGGCCGAGAAGCCAGGCACCTCTAAGATGAGTGGGGTGCAGTTAGGATGTGCCCATCCTTCTGCTATCTTTCTGGGGAGGGGTCAGACATGGGAAAGGAGGCGTATCCCAGGGCCAAGCCAAGGAAGTTGGCTTTTTGCAGCTGCTAATACCTTAAAGCCTTGGGTTTGTGTGCCAAAGTTCTGTCTCAGAGATGTCACTCAGAAGCCACGGGCACCCAGTTTACAGGATCAGGAAAAGGATGACCAGCCAGCAAGCACCCCGGAAGCCATTCTGTAGGCCAGCATCAGCTCCACTGGCCATCAGGAAGGGCCAGGTGGAGGCAATCCCCAGTCTCCACAGGGCACTAGTCTGAACTTTGAGGGTTCCTTGCGCCTAGGAAGCTAAGTGCAGGAAAGCGCCACTGAAAGGCGTCTAGACAGGCCCCTTGATCCTGATGACAGCAATACAGGACCCTCATTCTGTCTGGGGGACACTCCCCAGCCCAAAATAGAGGCAGCAGCACTGTTTCCAGAATGCCCCACCCACCTGTCAGAGTGTCCTCTGCACGGTGTCTCAGCCTTCCCAGCTCTGCTAGCTCTGCCGTCTGTGAAGGCAGCCAGAATCCAGGCCAGACTCCAGAGCCCGAGCTGATGACATGCAGCCTTGCTAGGATTCACTGGAGAAGAAGGGTCAGCCTTCCCTGTGGGTATGATGTGCTGATTATGGGCTCCTGTCCCTCCGGAAGCCCACAACCCTTGTACCAGTGCCCTAGATTCTCAAAAGGGTACTGCGGTTCAGAGCATCCATCCATCCTGCCCTGTTCCTTGGCTCAAAGTATGGCTAGACCTAGTCTCTCTATTTTCTGATGTTCTTTATGTTAATTTGAGAGTGAGGCTCAGATAAAATGAACAGAAGAACCACATAGTCAGGCTCTACCTTGTGAAGCGCCATGGCTGGTGGGAGCTGAGATGTGGCCTGTGGGATAAGAATGAACAGGAGCAACGCTGCCTCCATGGAGAGCCTTGTCCTTAGCGGCCTCTGCATCTTTCACTGATGCCCCTGTCACCCTACATAAGTCAAGAGGGTGGTTTCGGGGCAGGCTCGTAGCTCTACCAGCCGCTCCCCAGCCCTCCTCCCCAACCCCACACGTGGACTGCCCTGTGTTAAAATGAGGCCTGCAGGCCAGGAGTTGAGTGAAGCCTAGCATGAAGCTGGGCCACAGCCAGGTTTGATGATCTGCTTGACTGAATCTGCTAGTGTCTTAGGAGCCCAGCTGGCCCTGCTCTGTGTCCCTCAGACCCTCCTCTCAGAGCCCCAAGGACCACTGCGCCCTCCCCTCCTCACTGCTAAGAGAAAGGCACCACACATTCAGGTTCTCGGCTGCTGGCAGCCAGGCCCATTGGCTCCACCCAGGCCAAGTCCTTGCGTCCCGCTGCAGTGTCTGCCATGTGTCCGCATGGCCCCTCTGAACCTCTCTGTGCAAAGTTCTGTTACTGCCATTTTTAACTTGGTGTGACTTGTACTCGATGACAATAACCTTCTTAGCTCTCGTGTCCCTCCTACCCCCAGCAGTTGACCAAGCTCCACCAGTTGGCCATGCAGCAAACCCCCTTTCCTCCCCTCGGACAGACCAACCCCGCTTTCCCCGGTACGTACCCAGCTGCCCTTTTGCTGACCTTCTCTTCTCACCCGGGGACTCGCTTTCTCTCTCCGAGCTCGAGGCAGTGCAGATGCGCAGGTGCTGTCGAAGCTCTGAACGCGGACTCTCGCTAACACAGTGGGCTGCACACAGCTGAGGCCGGGCGGGTCGGTCTGCCCCCCATTGTGGGCGACTTGACTGTCCCCCGGCTTCCGTGCTCTTGCCTTTTGAGGGTCTTACGTGCGTACCAGTGCTCTGCGTCACAGTCCATCCCCAGGTGGCATTTTCTACCTGGCCATGCTTGGAGCACATCTTTTCCCGGATCCACATGCCGACCGCAGGAGTGTCCCCAGCCTTAGTTGGTGCAGCCCTGCCCAGGATAGCACTGACGGAAGCTAGCCTGCACTCGGGCCTGTGGTGAAGTAGTCAGAGGGGCTGGCCACAGCCTGCCCGGGCATCTGCAGCAGGGTGTCCCTCTCACAGAAGCAGAGCCGCCCGGTGGCTATGGCCAGTGAAAACACACTGGCCGTGCACGTCGGCTGTGCATGCACCAATCATATTTTGAGCTTTCCTAGTTGAAGGGACCTTGCTTCTCTCCTTGAGGGCAAAACATTAAACCTCTCTCTTCTTTGCTCTCCAGGAGAAAAGCTGCCTTTACACTCCTCCGAAGAAGCTCAAAATCTGATGGGCCAGTCGTCAGGTAAAACAGACCACAGTACTGGGGGAGCAGGCCAGGGGACATGTACAGAGGATGAGGGTACCCACACCTGTGACATTGAGTGCCTAGCACTCACCCAAGTCGGCTGGCAATAGACAGTTTCCAGGGGCACATGCTGTGGACTGAGGCATGGGGCCACCTAGGAGCCAGGTGGTGATGGAACTGTTCCACTGTTGGTGAATGGCAGGTCTGAGCATGCACAGCGTACAACCACCCTATGAAGATTTGGGTGGCCCAAGGCAGTGTGCACCTACATGAGGAGGACCTATCCGAGCTGCCACTCATTCTCCGGCTGTGCAGTGTAGGGGTGCATAGTGAGAGCTTGACTGTGGGGACCATGGGATGGTATGTGCTTTTTAAAGATGGAGATAGGCGCAGACCTAGAAGATAGATCCGGGCTGGATGTGTCTTCACCTTCTTCTGGTTTTCATTTAAACACCTGCTCCCAGGACCTGCAGGGGTGTGTGTGTGGAGACTGTCCCCATGTGTCTTCACCTTCTTCTGGTTTTCATTTAAACACCTGCTCCCAGGACCTGCAGGGGTGTGTGTGTGGAGACTGAGGTAGTGACTGAGGAACAGCCTTGGGAAAAGTGATAGGCTGGGGCTATCTTCTCTGGGTCCTGTGAGGGACATACACTTTATACCTGTGGGTCACTATGAGTACACATGGCCAACACTGCAGCCTCCTGGCTGCCAGCATGCTTTTATGTGACGACTTGACCAAAGCCCTCGAGACCTACAACACGAGTCCATGTGCATGTGAGTGCACTCGCATGGTAGCAGTGGGAAGGGTGTGTGCTGAGACCGCCATTAGCTGCATGGTGACAAGCAGCTGGCTTTGAAGCCTTGTCCTGGGTATGGGCTTTAAGTGGATACACCCTTATCTACCCACTTGACTTTGGTGTCCCTGAAAAAGGATTCTTGCTCTTCACTCAGTCACGTGTCAAATCCAACAGATATACCCTGCTGCCCCAGGAACTCCTGTCCAGCACTCCAGTAGTACCTTTCAAGTGACATGTTACATGTCTCTGCTTCTGGAATGTGTATAGATTCCTAAATAGCCAATGATTGTGTTAAAAACCATGATTAGAAGATAAGGGATAGAAACTCCAGACTTCAGTGTGTAAACGAAACAGCAGAGTTGGGAAGAGTGGGTTTTTTCCCTTCCGCCTGGGCCTGACTTCTGGACACCTACCATTGGGGTCATACTCTGGCAGGAGCCACAGACCGTGTGAGACAAGATTGTGAGGAGGCCATCCACCCAGGGAGTGGAGCAAGGCCAGACGGGAGCTGGGAGAATGAGGGCACCATGAGAAATAGGGGCTCACTGAGGTTGTTGATGGGGCCGCAAATCCTGGGTTTTGTGACTCTATAGATATGGTACTGAAGGAGGGTCAGGGCAGAGGCAGGACCAGTAAGAGCACAGAGTGAGGAGAGGACCTGGGTTCTGGGGCACTCTCCAGGGGTGTGGGTAGAGCTGGCCAGTCCCACGCAGGGACCGTTGCTGAGTCTGGAGGCAAGAGCGTGCCAGCCTGAGCTGTCTGTTGTTGAAGTGGGGTGGCTGTGTACAAAGCATGCGCTGTCCTGGAGGTATAGCCATTGCACCCTCCACCCTGGCAGTCCCTTGAGTGTGTTGTCAGCACTTCTGAGGCAGGAGAGGATTAGCACGTGGACTCTGAGAGGCTGCCTGTATCTGGAGACAGTGAGGCTTGCAAAGATGGAAACCTAGGCTTAGCCATGCACGGTGGCCTTTGGAAAGAACTGTGTCAAGCAAAACTAACAATGAGTGTTCTGCCACTTCCGGCTACCTGCAGCAGAACCACATGAGGTCTCAGGGTAGAGATGAGTGGGACACAGCACCCACAAATCTCCCTGAACAGAGGGAGAACAGCATTAAATGTCCACGTGACCCATTTGCCTGTGCCTCAGCTGCCGTGTGAAGGCCTGAAGTATGATGGCTGCCCTCTTTTTAATTCAGTGCCTGCCAGGCTGTGTATACAAGGTGTGAGGGTTTCTTTTTCTTTTGAGTGAAGGTGGAACTCTGGGGCTTGGGTTCCACCTGGGCCTGGGTCTCTGGGTGGTGCTGACCTTCACCTCAGCCAGCCCAGGGAAAATATGGACCAGGTCTGGGTATGACAATGAACTGTTTCCCTCCAGCTTAACCTTGTTCCCTTGGTGTACCCAGGTCTGGATGCCAGCCCCCCGGCCAGCACTCATGAGCTCACCATTCCCAATGATGTGAGTATGCCCCCTGCACCCTCCTGTTCTCACAAAAATGTGTGTGTGTGGGGGGGGGGGTGACACCCTCAAGCCCTGGCCCCCACAGTTGATTCTTTTCCCTCCTTCCTCTTCCACCTTAAATTGATAGAGTGCTCATGAAAGACACAAACAAAGGAGCACTGGGGACATCAGAAGGAATCAGAAGTCGGTGCCAGGGCTGGGCTGGGAGTCTGTGGCAACATCCTGGCTTGGGGACCTTGAGAACAGGGTGGTCCAGGAAGGTTCTGGAGTGATAGGATCCACACTAGAGGTTCGAGTTCTCTGGGACATGAAGTTGGTTGGATGTCACGGGTTGTCTGGATTCTTTCCTCTGGCATCCCTCAATCTGTCCAGGCCTCAGAGAACACCACAGCTGTGGTCTCGAGGGCTACTGTCAGCACACTTTGTCTTCCCAGGCTGGAGAAGACCTGGAGGAATGAGGGCAGTCTCCGAATCAACGGGCCACCCTCAAACAGTGAGACCAGGGAAGGAGAGTCCTTGTCTTGGAGAGTAACTACCAGGGTAGCAGAAGGGACAGTCTGTGTGGGCCATGCAGGGGCAGCCCCCTTTCCAACTTACACTTTGTTTAGGCTTTCTCTGCCCTAAGCTAGCGAGACTCATTCTGCTCCCCAACCCTTCCCCACCCCAGCCCACCCCCGTGTGTGTGCACACGCGCTCGCATATGCATGCATGCATGCGTGTGCCTGTGCGTCTCTGTTTACATATGAAGGTCAGAAGTCAGCCTCAGGTGTCATTCCTCAGGAGCTATCTACTCTAGTTTTTTGAGACAGTCTCTCACCAAGACCTGGGGCTCACCACTTAGGTTGGGCTGGCTGACCACCTCTCTCTACTTCTTCAGTGCTGAGATTACAAGCATGTGCCACCACACCCGGACGCTAGGGATCAAACTAAGGTCCTCACGTTGTGTGGCCAGCACTTTACTTATTTCTCTCTCCAGATCAGTAGAACTGGACTGTGAAGACCTTTCCCTGTCTTCTCCTTGTACTGTCCAGGCAGCAAACCCAAGACCTACCCCTCCCCATGTGAGCCAACTGCAGGAAACCCAGAGTTTGGAGTTTGAGGGGATCCCTAAGCTTGAGCTACACTTGGCCAACAGTTGGGCAGCAGAGAAAGCTGGCCAGAAGGGAGCCCATGAGCCCATCTGGCTGGTGCCTCTGACCTTCCTGGAATCACTGTCCTCACCACCACTCCCAAACCAGTCTGGCTGCAGACGGCCCTGAAGAGGTTTGCCACCAGCCCCAGGCATCTTTCCTGCTGCCTGACAAGCTCTGGCTCCCCCCAGTCTGTAGAAGCCAGCCTAGGAGTCAACCCAGGTGCCATGGGGGCACCAGTGTGCAGCCTTTGAGCTCCTAGAACACTGGAGGCTGGACCAACTTGACAGGCTGCCTTATGGGTGAGAGTGTCATGTCACCTGACTCCTGCTGTGTAGATGGAGAAGGTTTCTGCTCTGTACATTTCCCTTCTCAATCTTGTGCAATGGTCCCTCTAGCACGTGGGCTCACCCGTACGTGCTCCATTAGATAGGATCCACATTAGCAGCCTTTAAGAAACCCTACTTCACCAGCATTATGGCGCAAGCTTCTATTTAAACTGAAGTGGACACCAGGGCTGCTGTACGCTCTGCTGCCGTGTGGTGGATGAGCACTGGCTGACCTAGCCTGTCCTGTCACCCCAGAAGTCTTTGAAGGGAGGGGAGCTGCTCCTTCCCCAGCACACTCAGAGCCTCCCTTTTGCCCTGCACAGGAAGCCCAGGTGTAAAGAGTACGAGTCCTGACAGGGAAGGAAAGGGTGACAGTTTGGGGTATGGACGGTCAGCTTCCTCCAGTGCCTGTAGTGGGATCTGTGCTGTGAGGCTGGCAAGTGCCATCCACACCCGAGTGTGACACCAGGGAGGAGAGCTGATCGTGGAGCAGCCAGGGACAGGGGATGTGAAGAGAGGAGGCGGCCACGTCCTCCATGGCGCACCCTCCTGGATAATGGCATCTTTAGAGACACGCGGCCACACATTCTCCCTCAGCACGGGATCCATGCTCCCCCTACCTGTGGGCTACCTTGTCTGTCCTAGCCTTGGTCACAGAAGAGCCCATAGCTTTTCTGCCAGCTGGGAGAGAGCACAGGCGGGCAGGTTAGGAAGCCCTCCTCCCTGCCACGGGGGCAGGCACCCTTGGAACAACCGCATAGCCAGGCGGAGCAGGAGCAGGCCATGGCCAGAGCCCAGAGCTATAGGGAGATGAACAGCTCAGGCTTCTCAGGAGCAGCAGTTTTACTCTGTGTTCGTAAAGACTCATTGTCACAGCTCAGTAAGCGATACAGACCACCAACAGACTGCCTTACCAGTGAGCAGAACGCATGCCCTTCAGGCCTCCCCGGGCTAAGAGCTAGCCCCACACAGGTGCACTCTTGCCCACTGTGCAGGTCTGGAAGCAGATTCTCCTCCTGTACTGCTCAGGTCCAGCCCCAGCCTGACATCTCGCTGCATAAGAACAGCTTGGTTCTAGTCCTCAGGCCGGTGCCCAGACACCCAGATACAAGAGAACCACTGACCTGTGGTGACGGCCGGCTGCAGCCCGGGCTCTCAGTTCCTGTCTGACCAGTATTCCATTCCTTACTCCAGAGCACACAGGGCTGGCCTGTGGATATGGGAATTCTGTTTACTCAGTCATGGAAGCTGAGGGATATCGGCTCCTCTGCAGTCTTTTCTGGGGTCCAGGCTGCCCCTACCATAGCACAGGGTGGACTGAGAGGCACATACCTAATGGGGTCCTTTGAGGTCCAGCCTCAAGGTTCTCTTCAGGGTCCAGAAAAGATGCTGCACCAAGTGAGGGAAAACTTGGGATCTGAGGGTGAAGGAATGAATCGGCTCACACCGTTCTTCTCTGCATGTCCCTTTATTGTTTTTTTATTCATCTAATTTTCTTGTCCTAATTCTAAATCCATCTAGCTTCACCTCCTCTAGCCTAGAAATTCTTTTTTAGGAGACTTGAAGCAATAGAAAAAAATTACAAGAGTTACCTCTCATTGGTCAAAAGCACATTCCTAGGGTAGACAATAAGGGCAGAGCCATTTACCATGGCAGCACAGGGTTTCAAAGTCTCAGGATCAGAGGGAGGGGATGCAGTGCCCAGTGCCACAAACTCTGAGACACAGCTCTTGATCAGCAGACTTGGCAAGTGAGGAACTGGTGTGCTTTTCTTAAGGTGTTTTGTGTAGTAATCTTGGTTGGACACCTGCAACTCTGACCTTGTGCACAATTGTCAAGTTTTAAACTTCTGATCTATTTACAAAGGCCTTTAGTCTAGTTTGAACTTGCTCTGAGGTAAAGCATGAGCTAAATGTGTGCAGTTAGTCTGAGCAAAAGGAACAAAGCAGGCTTTTAAGGTCTACAGTCCACATAAGACAATAGATCTGGCTATGAAACATATCCTAGAATATTTTCTATATATCAAAATTGTACAGCTAATGAAAAGTTATCTTCCTGACCATCCACGGATATGTGTGTGTCCAAAGATTGAGGTGCAGTCATGAGATTACATATACACATTTCATGAAAATACATGGTAGGTAGAGATATCGTAGCTGTTATTGCACAAGAAATTACAGGTGGAAGCAACAGTATTCAGAATCAGTGGCCTGCAAGCCTTGCCTGACAGAGTATCTCATCTGAGAATCATTCCTCTGGTGGGTGGACATCTGAATTATCAATTGCTACAAGCTGTATTTGTGTCCTGGCCCACAATAGCTCCTGACAGAGGCTCCTGACACATACCCAACTGCAGTTGTTGCCAGAGAAAGATCTTGACCACTAGGATGGAGAGCACTCTTGTCCCTGAGCTGCCTCAGAGATGACCCTCACTCCGATGACTCTGCATCCATTAAACAGAGTTCACCAAGCAAGCGTCACATTTGTCCTCCACTTCATCTGAGATCATCAAAAGATAGGTTTCAGCAACAATGAACTTGAGGTGCTCCTGAGTGTCTGTGGTGCTCACTTTCCCTGGAGACCCGTTCTCCCTGTGAGGGTATCACAGAAGGTCCTGACCCAGTCCTGGCCAGCTGGTGTGGGATTCCCCACTCACTCTGCATCATTCTTCTCTGGGTCACTTCTGACCAAGTAGCAGAAGCCAGTGAAGTAATGGCCATGTCTTATATGGACTTTTTCCAGAGGGACCCTAAGTAAAGGCAATCAAACTGTCAACAGGCAGAGCCTGGCCCTCTCTCCCGTTGCCCCGGGGACCAGGCTCAGGACTTTGCAGGGACCTTTTCTTCCACAGCATGGAGTTCCTAGGCAGAGTTGGGACCTATCTCATTGGCTGTCCCCACAGGGCTCTTACAGATGCCTTGAAAGGGATGCCCTAGGCTTTTCTCTAAGAGATCCCTCCATCATTTCTTCTAGCTTATAGGCTGCATAATTGGACGCCAGGGCACCAAAATCAATGAAATCCGACAGATGTCTGGAGCTCAGATCAAAATCGCCAATGCCACTGAAGGGTCGTCAGAGCGTCAAATTACCATCACAGGGACCCCAGCCAACATCAGCCTTGCCCAATATCTCATCAACGCTAGGTGAGTGATTCTTATGCGTCTGAGTCCTCCACAGGCCCTCGCTCGCTATGGCCTGCAGCCCCACATCCTTGCTGATACAGTAAGAGTCCAGGCATGTGGGGAGAGGCATGATGGAGTCGGCCTCCACAGAGACATGGGCCACTCCATTCGCCACCAAAGAGCTAGAAAGCTATGGTGAGAGGCACCCCCATTTTCCTATTTCCCTCCTCCCAGCCAATAATCAGGCTGTGCCCATCTGCCTCAGGCATGGGGTGTTGGCAGACTGGTAATAAGTCTGGGGTAGAACTCAGGGAAATGCCTACCTACAAGCTCACTTGCCCCAAATCCACTATAAGCAACCCTCAGAACTCCTGTGACAGCCATGAAGCCCCTGCTTAAAAGTCTGGAGTCCCCCCACCCCCGAGACAGGCTGGGTGCTTAGTCCCTGGCCCAAACTCAGCAAGATTGAGTACCAGGCACGGGACAGGTAAAGCTCCACAGATGTGGCCTCCACCTGCTGTGCAGTGGGTCCTCCAGCTCGTGGCCACTGAATGATGACCTGGAAATGGGGAGGTGCCCTCCCCCTACTGTCCCGTCTCCAACCCATCTCATAAGTCTGTGATGTGTCCCTTGTGCCTTCGTGTGTTCCAGGCTGACGTCTGAGGTCACCGGGATGGGTGCACTCTAACCTACCCAAGATCCTCCATTCCACACATCGGATGGCTCCAGCCTGCAGCCTCACCAGCTGGCACACTGTACAGACTGCCTGTCCTTCCTTGCAGATATGAATAGAGCGTTTTCTGTACAGATGATAGTGCGTGTCTGCCCACTCAGGCCCTGTGCGCTCCGTATTAGTGTAGCCTCCACGCATTGGCATGCAGCTCTTTACTTTATGCCCAGCGTCTTCCCAGATGTGATGTTTCAGAGATTTATTCCTCAGTATCCATGTGACTATCTGTTTAAAAGTTGGTTTGATGCTTTCACAGCACTTCCTGTGTCCTGCTGTCCCTTGTTCTCAGAGACCCTCCTCTCTCACTTGTCTGGTGACTCATTCCCACCCTAGGCTGTACGCAGGGATCAGAGGTACTTTTCTTGCAACCTTCAGGGAGCATTTGGAAGAGGAGGGACTTGGGGGGTATCTAAGGAGCAAGGTGAAGTGCCAGAGGGTGGGGTGGGACCCTTGCTTCACTGGGATATCTCGGGGAGGGGGCACTTGTGGCCCCCATGTGTCTTCCAAGATGGCTAAGAACAAGGACTTACCAGAAAGTTCATCTGCACCCATCAGAGTTCAATAAATGTCGTGTTCCTCCCACATGGCTCTGGCTTCTCTCTGCTCCCCTATCCCAGTGCCCATACCCACCCACAAGACCGTCAGTACCCAGCCTGAGAGGCAGAAGATCATGGGATAGAGACTGCCTATGCCTGACCTGCCAGGGCACCATCCCCACAGCCTTCCACCGTACAAGGGACCTTGCTCCTTCACTGCTGCTGTTAGAACCGAGGCTCCTTTCCTCCCTTCTCTCAGGTGATTCACTCAGAGGGCCAGGGTAGATGTGGAGATTGCCCAGGGCATGCAGCCCCTGGCCTGGCTCCAAGGCCCTGGTACCTATCTCCATCTCTGATCTTGGAGTTTCTGGCAAGAAGGCCCTGGCAGAGACCAGCTCAGGCCCAGAGAAGTGGTGGCCGTCTGTTACTCCGCAATTTCTTCTTGAGACTCAACTGCCCAGCACATGCCAACTGCCCTGAAACCTGGCCTCATTGGTGGGTACAGTGACCTGCTCCAGGACGCTGGGGTATGCAGCGACCATGCTGGCAGGAAGAGCTCCCTCCTGTCTGCCAGGCTGACAGAGCCAGGTGTGCCTCCGGTCCCTGTATTTTAGCCAGGCGTCCCTGACTCAGTTGTCTGGAACATTCCTTGCCCTCTGCTGAGCCTAGCACCCCTGGCCACTCTTCACACCCAGCAAGTTAGGGCTAAGAGTCAATCCACTCCCACACACAGAACCCAGACACAGGGTCTGAGAGAGGACAAGGACTCGGGGGACACAAGCCTTCCCCTAGAGGTGGCAGATGGCCTGTCAACCATGAGCACCATAAAAAAAAAAAAACTTTGGGGGAAGAAAGGTAAAAAAAAAAAAAAAAAAAAACAGCACAGCAACATCAAAAGTGCAGGGTAAATGGGGCCCCAGGGAGGCCCCAAAGGTGATGGGCATTGGGCCAGTGATGAGTGAGCTGTGCACATACCTACAGAAAAAGGGTCGGGTAGGAGAGTACCTGGGTAGGCCACAGTAAGGGAGCTCCACTCAGCCCAAGGCTGAAATTGCTTAACTCCTTGTTCATTATATGGGGACAATGGCAATGCTCTTCAGGAAAGTGTGGGTGTTGGTCCTCTCCCCATCTCCCACACATACTGGCTCCACCTCTGAGAACTCTAACTTTAGGAGTCTGGTACCTGCCAGGCTGGAGATGTGCTTGGTGTAGTAGACTCGGGCCTGCTCTACAAACAGAAATCCAAGTCACGCCTCTCTGGCCAGGGGAGGCAAGGATGGTGAAGCCTCAGAGGCAGGAGCTTGATTCTACATCCCTTCCTGTGGAGGCATCCCAGCATCCGGGTCACAGGGGCACCGTCCTACAGAATTCACTGGACCAGGTTTGTTCTGCATCCGATGTATGCTGAAGGTGAGAGGTAACCATGGAGATGGGATCTCAGCCCCACCTAACATCCTTGAGGATAAGCAAGTAGGAGACCTGCTCCCTGCCTGAGCACAGAGTCTGTTCTATGGCACATGTGAGGATGGATGGAGAGCTGGAGCCAGGAGGACCCAAAGGAGTGCAGTGCTCTGGCAGCTATGGCGTCTGCTGGATGTGTACATCTGTTTCTCAGTGTTTCTACTAAAGGGCCTGGGGTAGTTGAGGAATTGCCCATGTCACCCGGACACTAGGCAACTCCCCAAGACTAGTGGTCAGTTTGTTCCTCATCCTCAGTCTGGCCCCAGAACTAGAGATACACATGACAGCCAGGCAGCCTGCCAGGAGCCCTCAAACCATCCTCTGCCAGCACTGACTGACTTCAAGCATGAGTTACCTTCCCAGGGGAGGGAGACTGGGGGACCATGCTGCTGGCCTAGTCCTTGGTACCTGGTCCATAGTTGGCTTGGTCAAGAGTCAGGTCAAATGATGACCACAGTTGACCCTGTAGACAGGTTTGCCAATACACAAACTGACTATTTGTATCACTGTCATGAAGACAGGCAATCCACACCCGATCCTAGAATGCATGATGTTATAAAAATAAATAAATAAATAAACTGCAAGCAAAGCTATTTTGACAGCAACAAATTTCATAAGCAAAAGCATTAAGAACATGATCCATTGGATTGCTCAAAGGCTGTGTTGCTGTGTCATAAATAAATAGATAAATAAATAGATCCCATCTCATGAACACATGCTGTTTGTCACATCATGAAGAAGCTTCCTTCACTTAAGGTTCCCAGAGGTGTCAATTTTAGCAATTTCTCTCTCTCTCTCTCTCTCTCTCTCTCTCTCTCTCTCTCTCTCTCTCTCTCTCTCTCTCTCTCTCTCTCTCTCTCTCTCTCTCTCTCCTGTCTCTTTAGCTAAACCTTCCCTTTCCCCCCCCTTCTGTATTGTCAAAATGAACATATCCTGTGGACCTTTTCCAAGCGTCACCTTCTGGTTTTGCTCTTAACAGTACTTATTCTCTGCTACTTTTCCCGTAGTTTCTCTCATTTCTATGTGCTCTGCTTCACTGCCCTTACTTCCGTCACTTGACTTCTGGGATGCTGTCCTCACCTGACTTGTTAGACTATGGATTTCTAGGCACTACTTCAGCTGTGTCCTGTAAATTTGGACATGACAGTATCATTCAGTTTGGACTCTCCCTCAAAATTCCCACTTACCCAGAGGCCCTTGGTAAAACATTAGCTGCTCATAGATGAGATCCCCTTACTGATCTGAGCACACTGCCTTCTATATCTGTCATCGCCTGACCCTGACACTTTGAGATTGTGACAGTTCTGTGGTGGGCTTCTGTACCACCCGTCTGCCGGAACAAACATGCTGCCCACTTGCTGAGAAAGTCAACCTTGTTTGGTCATGTCTTGAACATCTCTGTGATTGGAGATGGCACCTCTGCTCTACATCTGTAAGAACCTCTTGAGTATGATTCAGCTGTCTACAAAAATCCAGTTCTGAGAACTCTGGGCCTAATGGCACTCTATAGTCCGATGCCCACTCCAACAACTCCCCTAAAAAATCCCTTGGTTGTCCTGGTTTGTTTTTCAATAATCTTTAATAACCTTGCTCACTTCAAAGTCTAATGGTATTTCCCACAGAATTATACTAAACATTCTGCATTATTCGGGGCTCTCTAGAACCCAGAGAAGGCATGTATATTACAAAGGGGATCTACTAGATTGGCTTATATAATAGACTGAAAAGTCTAACAGTGGCTGTTGGCACTGCAGAGGCTGAGAACCCAGCAGCTACTCAATCCCTGAAGATGGTCTAGAGGATCCCTGGAGACCTGGAGGTCTTTGGTGGACACTGGAAGGCTAAAGAAGCCAGGTTCCGTGTCTACAAAGGATGACATAAGCAGCAGCATCGACAACAGAGTGGATGTGATCACAAGCTGGGAGTGAAGGCAGGGAGGCAAAATCAGCTCTGCTTTCCCCCAAGCCCTCTTTAGATCCAGGCCACTCCTGGAAGGTAGTACCCACTCTGGGGGAAGAGTCTTTCCCCCTTCAGATAATCTTTCCAGGAACTGCTCTCACAGACCCACCCAAAGGTGTGTCTCTTAGTTGATCCCAGATGCAATCAAGTTGAAAACCAAAACTGTGCACCACACATTAGCTTTGTGAAATGGAGTCTGTGTTTGCAAAAATCATAACATTTGTTGTCTATTCTTTTTTTGCTTTTCTAGTCTTGTTTTTCCCTTTCTTTATCCATAGTCATCCTTGTTGCTAATTGCACTCCTAGCTGTGTTTTCTCACTTTCAAGAACATTCCTTCCACTGTATCTCCCTGGCTGTGGTTGATCTGTGTGAAATCCTGCACATCCACGTTCTGTCCCAGCACCTAGCTTAGTTCATGCACAACTGTTTCCCTGTTGGTCCTATGGTTCTCAGTGGGGGTCCTATAGCCTGGGGCTCAGAACAGAATCTGAATGGTTTTTTGAGGATCTTTACCTTTATGCCTCAGTTCCTCATCTGTGGTTAGTTATTTTATAGTATGCACCTCATGAGATTTTCATGAGGCCAATAAGAGTCCATGAACATCACTGAGAACCAAGGCCAGTGTAGCAAACATGTATGTGGTGGTATAGAAGATGATACACAGCTAAAATAACCTGCAAACAACCTGAGTTGCCTAGTGTGTGGTTTGGGCTTCATAGCTCCAAATTACTTCCATTTGTAGATTCCATTGACTAAACCCAGTCATTCTGTGACAGATGCAGTGATCCACAGCCAAGTGCTGGACTAAGCTCCTGGAGATCAGTTGAAGAGAGGGAGGAGGGATCATATGAGCAAGGTGGTGGTGGTGGTGGTGGTGGTGGGTATCAAGATCATGATGGGGAAAACCACAGAGACAGCTGACCCAAGCTAGTGGTAGCTCATTGACTCCGGATTGACAGCTGGGGAGCCTGCATGGGACTGAACTAGGCCCTCTGAATGTGGGTGACAGTTGTGTGGCTTATCTGTTTGAGGGGCCCCTGGCAGTGGAACCAGGGCTTATCCCAGGTGCATGAACTGGGTTTTTGGAGCCCATTCCCTATGGTGAGATACCTTGCTCAGCCTTGATGTAGGGGGGAGGGGCTAGGCCCTGCCTCAACTTGATATGCAAGACTTTGTTGACTACCCAAGGGAGGCCTTACTCCCCTGAGGAGTCGGGGAGGTAGGGGGCAGGAGAAGAAGAGGGAACTGGAGTTGGTGTGTAAAATGAAAAAAAAATGTTTTTAATTTTAAAAGGGGGGAGAAAATTAGTAGTAAAATGACTCCTAATGATATTCTGCTATACTCATAGATCAGCACCTTGCTCAGCCATCATCAGAGAAGCTTCCTCCTCTAGCAGATGAGGACAAATATGGAGACCCACAGCCAGACATTACACATTTTGTAATTACAGACTTTGGAACACTCAGTACTAAATGGGATCTCTCCATCAAATCCCTCCCTTCAGGGCTCAGAAAGCCCTGCAAAAAACAGAGCTGGAAAGAGTGTAAGAGTCCCTGGGGATGTAGAACACCAAGGAAACAAGGCCATCTAGAGCAGCGGTTCTCAGCCTTCCTATCGCTGCGATC